TGTACGCCTCCTCTCCCCCGCAGGGTGCTCTGGGGTTCCCCATCCTAGTTGCAGGAGAGCGCCATTGAACTGGTTTACCCCTCCCATACACCCATCCTGGGTCAGGAAGAACATAGGCCCATCTAACTGCAGGGACAAGAGCAGCCACCGGCAGGGCCTGGGCCCAAATCGAACTTCATGATCAAACTGCGTTGTTCTATTGGAGCCATTATTAATTGAGGCTTTCAGTAAATGGACGTTAACCACATCCAGCTTCATGGTGCCTGGAGAACATGTGCATGGCAACCAATCACCTTCTATCCTCAACTTCAGTTCAGTTATGCTTTGAGAATAAAAGCTGGAAGCTGATTGGTTGACTTGCACAACTGCTGCAGATGCTGTCTGTTCCAGTCCTAGTAGTATCCCCGGCGGTATTCCTGAGTGTAGCTCGGGGTAAAGTTTCAGTACCAAAAGCGGTAACACCGAGCTACACTCGGGCTTACCATGCGGCGCTGCTCTGGGATTTGTTCTTCTCTTACCTTGTCCTGCGCTCCCGCAATGTCCCTCCTGCAGTGTCCCCTGTAATGTCCTCCAGTGGATGCCGGCATCTGTCATCTGGGTTCCGCCCCCTGCGACGTCGGGACGTACGGGGGACGGAACCGGCGGTAAATTTGAAAATGGCAAAAAGTAACTTTCGCTAAATACACTAAAATCACATAGTATAACATTCCTGTATCAAACCATTTCACATACATTTTGTCCCGAGCGCTTTGTCCGGTGCCCTGCCTGCATTTTTACCGCCCTTTCTGCCTGGAAACTGAGAAACGTCCATGGCGTCCAAAAAGCGTCCCTTTAGGTCAAAAGCGGTTTTAGACCGGCTAGAGAACAGCGATAGTAAATCAGAACCACTTGCAGAATTGAGTAATAATGATTCGTGGGGGAAATTCCTCATCAGACACTGAAAACGATTTTGCGACTTTGATCAATGATGTGCGAACTTGGCGCTCTATTTCAAATTTCAGTGTTTTTGGTTTGATTATATTATTGAATTAAATTTATTATTATTTTGTAGGATTATTTAAATTATAATTTATGATTTTGTGTTTCAAATTTTATCCTCCCCGGGATGTTTACTAGACTCTTGTTCGGACAGATTTCAGTGAGTTATTCCTAAGAATTACAGGCCTACAATAACAAAAATGACATATTTCCATGCAAAAAATGTACCGCTTTGAGCACAGAAATATGGACATAATCAGACCGCTAGGGAGGTTAATATCCTCTCAATGACCTCTGCTTATGGCCAGCCTGGGCAGGACTTGATCATGCATGCATGCATATGCTGAAAAATCAATGATGTAGCCTTTTGGAGCCACTGGAGAGCTTCTGCATGACTAATGCACCATAGATAGGCTTGTCCACTCCTACTTTCACCATTACCGATCCATACCACTCCCCACCCCTTAGCCAATTAAACTTTACAAAAAACACCATTTGGAGTAAAATGGCCAACATGGCCTTTTATTAACAACTTCACATTTTAAATACATCAACCGTTCCTTATAACGGAAACCAAAGAATTGTTGTTGGTCTTCGAAGGCACCCCCAAATGATCCAAAATGCGCCTGCGGACAATCCTATACACTAGGCCTCCAGCCGCAACCAACCAGCTCGGAGACAACCATACCGTCCGCAGTGCAGCACTACCACCTTCCAGTTAAACCTTGGTTAGCTGGGAATGGCCACCGGGCACCCCATACCACCGATGGGTCCCACACCATTGTTTTACCTTCCAAGATGAGAACCGCCTCCAAAGACCAACAACCGCCCGCGGACCAACATAACACCCCCCTTTTTTTTTTTCTTTCCCCCCGGGAGGGACCCGATACCCAACAAAACAGGGAGGGTGGGAGGGAAGCTCTGGTCCTTCCTCACGTCCAGCTCCACTGACGCCCCCTCCACAGAACCCCCCACCCTAAGGTGCCACAGACCCCTCCTACACTCCACCTCTGCCAACCAGATTACCCCACAATCAACTCCCAACCCCCTGGAGCTAACTTTAACCCTTTCCGTTCCCCTTCACCACTCTGGGCCTAGTCATGCATGCCCTGCGCTATTTTCATTCTTCCTTATCCGCTACGGACATTTCTTTGTGGTGGTATCAAGGAAAAAGTCATACGGCGATCAGATACACTGGCGGATGTGCTTATCATTGACCATTCCATCAAAATTAGATCAGAGTAGATGCAGATCGGCTTCTGAAGGACGATTATTGACCAGTCAAGTCCTTTTGGCATACCATATGGTATCAAGGAAAAAGTCAAGAGGCGATCAGATACACTGGTGGATGTGCTTATCATTGACCATTCCATCAAAATTAGATCAGAGTAGATACAGATCGGCTTCTGAAGGACGATTATTGACCAGTCAAGTCCTTTTGGCATACCATATGGTATCAAGGAAAAAGTCAAGAGGCGATCAGATACACTGGTGGATGTGCTTATCATTGACCATTCCATCAAAATTAGATCAGAGTAGATACAGATCGGCTTCTGAAGGACGATTATTGACCAGTCAAGTCCTTTTGGAATACCATGTTCAGTTTCCACGTAGATGTGGTGGTGCCAAAACAAGTTATTCTCAAGCAATGTTCAAAAAGTAAAAAGCTTCTATTTTTTTTTTATTTTAGTATGTGTCTATTCTAAACTTATGCATTGGTCCTTATCTTTTCAAGTGACAGGCAGGTCTATGGACTGTCTTCTAGTGGGAACAGTCCCTAAGGTGGGTGTACACCTGACTGCACTGTCATACAGCAAAAAGATTTGTAGCCCGCGTCAACGGAAGAGTCTGAGCTTCAAATGCCACCGACACCTTTCTTACCCACATACTTTATTTTTACTGCTCTCTGATGGAGGGGTGGTCGCTCAAGCCTAGTAGATGTGCTGTGAATTTATACCTCGTTTCTAATGTCAAACCGTTCACAGGATTTTCTCTCTGAAGTCACGGGAGAAGTTCCTGTAGCATCAAACCTTCTTTAGAAATATAAATTAGAATTTATGTCCATTAGGCGAGGAGCAGCGAGGTGCAATGATCTGCATTTGCCTCTGAGCGAAATTTCTGATGGGCTGTTAATACACTAAAGAGAGCCCTCACTTGAAAGTCTCATTAAAAATCGCGCGGATCAATTTTTCATTCCTCGCCGTCATTTCTCTACGTTAATCCGCCAGGTCCGAAGCGGGCTTCTCTTCAAACTCCGGGCGGGAGGGACTCCTCGATTACGCCTGTGTACACGGCTTGTTGCATATTACGCGGGCAATAATTGACACGCGTTAATACGGTCTCGCCCGCACAGAAACCTAATTGTGAAGCTGTAGCCAGATTATTTATGTGTCTGAGGGGGCCACCCGGCACACTAACGGAAATTCGGAGATGAGTGGATTGCAGTCTATGTTCATCCGGAGACGTCTCCGATCTAATTCTGTTAGAAACACAAAGGAGCGTCATCTCAAAAGCAGGAAAGGGCCAGGTCACCAGGGAGAGTAATTCCACTGTCCTCATTTTGTCAGGAAAGTGCTTAGCAGGAAGATCTTGCGCTGTCAGATACTATTCTTCTCTTTGCTCGCAGTCTCGTACTCCCAGGAGCTGGCAAGGGAAAATGTTTCTGTAGCAACAAACTTTAGACTGCTTTCTCTACAAACCTTTTTTTTTTTTTTTTTTCCCAGCACATCAGATTGCCCCAAACCGAGAGCCTTTCCTTTGCCGGCGCTAATTAGCTGCTCGCTCGCTGCTTCCTCTTCACGAGGAAACCATCCAAGCTCTCGGACAAGTGACTTTAAATAATAGCGTCCAGAGAGGCACTTGAGATACTTCAATAGTAATGAAAAATATCAGGTGCGGAGTGGGGAGGAAAGACGTTGGATTGAGAGTTCTGTCTTGTCAGAGGGACTTGGGAGGGTGGAAAGAAATTGTCTGATTACTGGCAGAGTCGTGTTCCAGCGATGGTTCTACTCTAAGTCTTCTTGAAGCAGCCTTCAAACTCAAGGAAAGGATCAGTATTCATATTTTGTGTTCGGTATTTGCTAGGATGTCTGTATCACCAATTGCAGACAACATTGATATGCTCAAGGTGAGACAACAATTACTAAAGCCGGCACCTCAATCTTCCTCTGTCCACAACGAGGTCCAGTCTATAAAAAAAAAAATGAAAATGGGTCCGTGGAATTCCGGCATTTTAGATTGGGGAATTTAATCTACTAGCCTACTGAACGACATTTCAGATTGGATGTCACTCCACTTCCTCGAATTAAACCTTTCCAAAACCGAGCTCCTAGTTTCTCCCCAGCCTGCGCCCCCCCCCCCCCCCCCCCGACTTCTCCATCACAACCAACAACGCCACCATCAGTCCCAACCCCCAAGCCAGAGTGCTAGGTGTCATCCTAGGCTCCAATCTGTCTTTCCAGCCCCAGGCATAAATCATGCTACCGGTTCCTCTTATTATTATTATTATTATTATTATTATCATACAGGATTTATGGTGCCAACAGTTTGCTCAGCGCTCTACAATAGAACGGGAGACAATACAGCAACAATACAGTTCAATACAAGAGGGAAGGAGGGCCTGATCTCTGGCAGCTTACAATCTAGGAGGGAGGGGCTAGATGTACAAAAGGTAGTAACTGTGGGGGATGGTACTGGTTGGAAGAGTAGAAGATTCCATTATTAGCTGAGGGCAGGATAGGCTTCCCTGAAGAGATAGGTTTTCAGAGATCGCCTCAAAAGTGAGCAGAGTAGGCGATAGTCTGATAAATTGGGGTAGAGTTTTCCAGAGGATGGGGGAAGCTCTGGAAAAGTCCTAGAGATGAGCATGGGAGGAGGAGACAAGGAAGCTAGAGAGCAGGAGGTTGTGTGAGGTGTGGAGAGTACGGTTTGGGTGATAGAGACAAGATTGGTGATGTAATTTGGGGAGAGTTATAAATGGCTTTATATGTTATTGTTAATGTTTTGAATTTTATCCGTTGGGCAATGGGAAGCCAGTGGAGGGATTGGCAGAGAGGGGTGGAAGACACTGAGTGGAGGGATTGGCAGTGGAGGGGTTGGCAGACACTGAGTGGAGGTCAGTGGAGGGATTGGCAGAGAGGGGTGGAGGACACTGAGTGGAGGCCAGTGGAGGGATTGGCAGAGAGGGGAGGACACTGAGTGGAGGTCAGTGGAGGGATTGGCAGAGAGAGGGAGGACAATGAGTGGAGGCCAGTGGAGGGATTGGCAGAGAGGGGTGGAGGACACTGAGTGGAGGTCAGTGGAGGGGTTGGCAGAGAGGGGTGGAGGACTCTGAATGGAGGCCAGTGGAGGGATTGGCAGAGAGGGGTGGCAGATACAGAACGGTTAGTAAGGTGGATAAGTCTGGCAGCAGCATTCATGATAGACTGAAGAGGGGATAGCCTGCGATGAAGTCGGCCAATGAGGAGGGAGTTACAATAGTCAAGGCGAGATATAACAAGGGAGTGAATAAAATAAGTTGCTTAGTGGAATTCCGAGGTTAGGAACGGGCGTATCTTGGAGATTTTGTGGAGGTAAAGTCTACAAGATTTGGACAGTGATTGGATTTGGGGCTGAAAGGACAGATGGGAGTCTAGGATTACACCTAGTACCCTGGCATGAGGGGAGGGACTGATGGTTGTATTATTGATCTTGATGGAGAAGTCAGAGGAGGGGGCACGGGATGGGGGGAATACGAAGAGCTCAGTTTTGGAAAGATGGAGTTTGAGGAAGTGGAGTGAGATCCATATCAATATGTCGCTTAGTAGGTTAGTAATGCGAGAGGAGACTGAAGGGGTGAGGTGAGGAGGAGACTGAAGGGGTGAGGTGAGGAGGAGAAAGATAGACTTTATTGAGTTGTAGGCAAGAATTCCAAAGGGCTCTGCTATTACTGACCCCCGATAATACAAAGCTGGAATTCACATACCACCTTCTCCCTTAGACAAAGACACAAAAGTCTAACCAGAGAAGTGGAAGCGAGTGTTAAAAGAAAAAATACATTGTTACTTTATTAATTAGAAAAACAGTAATGAAAGCATTGTTAAAAATAAAACATAGAAGAGAAGAAGACAGCAGCAGGTCTGGATGGGCAAGTGGTCCCCAGCTGCTCTCATGCTAATGGAGTTTCATGGTGGTGAAGGTCCTCTGTTAATTACAGGTTGGAATACTTGCCCCTCTTTTTCCTCAGCAGAATTCACATAGTGTCTATCTATTTGTAGAGATCAGCGGTTAACTGCGTGGGCCTCCAAATAGAATGGGCTGCTTACTGCTAGTCTTGACGTATATGGCGCACAAATGAGCGTGCTAGATATTCATGTTATTTCCATGTGAAGACTGGATGTTGTTGTGCAGTGCCTTGAAAAAGTACCCATATCTTTTTGAAATTTTGCACATTTTGTCATGTTACAACCAAAAACGTCAATGTATTTTGTTGGGATTTTATGTGATAGACCAACACAAAGTGGCACATAATTGTGACGTGGAAGCCACAAATGATAAATGGCTTTCAAACCATGTTTTACAAATATTTGAAAAGTGTGGCGTGCATTTCTATTCCGCCCCCCAGAGTCAATACTTTTTAGGCTGCAATTCCAGCTGCAAGTCTTTTTGGGGCATGTCTCTACCAGCTTTGCACATCTAGAGATGGGACATTTTTGGCCATTCTTCTTTGCAGAATGGCTCAAGCTGTCAGATTGGATGGAGAGCGTCTGAGAACAGCAATTGTCAAGTCTTGCCACAGATTCTCCATTGGATTTAGGTCTGGACTGTGACTGGGGGCCCGATTCTAACACATGAAGATGCTTTGATCCAAACCATTCCATTGTAGCTCTTGCTGGATGTTTAGGGTCGTTGTCCTGCTAGAAGGTGAACCTCCACCCTGGTCTCAAGTCTCAAGACGTTTTTCGCTTCTAAGATTGCCCTGTATTTGGCTCCATCCATCTTCCCATTATTCGTTACTTTGACACCAATGGTGGGCCTTCTCATTGCAGAATCCACAAACACTGTCAATGATGGGGCACTATTACGCACATCAATGATGGTGCACTATTTCTTCTTTTGGCACCAATAATGGGGGCACTACTGTTCCCACTGACACCAATGATGAAGCACTATTCCTTCCATGATAACAAAAATGGGGCACTATTCCTCCCACTAAAACCAAAGCCCCGGGCACTAAGTCCTCCCACTAAAACCAAAGATGGGACACTATTCCTCCCACTTTGACACCAATGATGGGGCACTATTCCTTCCACTGATAACAAAAATGGGGCACTATTCCTCCACAGACACTAAACTATTACCAAAATGGGGCACTATTTCTCTCCCACTAAAACCAAAGATGGGGCACTATTCCTCCCACTAAAACCAAAGATGGGACACTATTCCCCCACTAAAACCAAAGATGGGGCACTATTCCTCCCACTAAAACCAAAGATGGGGCATTGTTTACTCCCTTTTCTATTTCCACTAGCCACACTCCAACACTTCTAATGTCAGTGAGGGAGAGTAAACTGGTTATGTGAATCATATATAGCCAACTTGTTTAGAGGGTGAAAGAATCATTACAGAACGTACTATAGGACTTGATTTAAGGCCTGATGAAGACTAGCATCTCCTAGCTGCCTATAGTGCTATCAGGAGATGCTAGTCTTCATCAAGCCTTAAACCAGGTCCATGCTGTGGGGATTCTATTAACATTGACTGCTCAAGCCCAAAAGAAGGGAAAGTCTTTTTTTCCCAAAACATGTTGGATATACAGCATATGATGCTCTTGACCATTAAATGTTCGAAAAAGTCTTTCAAGTGAGATGAAATTTTGAACCAAAAATGAGGGAAAATCCAAAATTATGTCACCACAACAAGTATAAATTTAAATCTTCTCGGTGACAATTGCACTTCACCCTACTTTGGAGAGATTTCCTCTTACTTGTGTCGACAGGACATTAAAAGGAAATCTCACCAATTGGACAAGAAAATGAGACGGGGTTTTCTTTTTTCCCTTCTCTATTCAAAACAAAACACTTTAGCTTTAGATACTGGTAACACCACTTTTCTTGCAGCCTTGTAAGCACATTTTAGTCTGCCAAGAGCTGAACATAGATCTTTAAGAGCTCAGAATTGACTCTTTGTAAAAATGTGCTAAACACGGCATTCCTCAGACTAGACTTTACAGGTGAAGAATAAAAAATACATTTGTTTGCTGGGTTTTGGGAGGTACCACTTTATTTTTTCCAAAGCAACTTGTGCCGATACGAAGACACATAGAAGACGATACGCAGTTGTGGGTTCTCACTATGGGGGAGATTTACTAAAACTGGATGCTTAAATGCATATGGACCCTCTCAGTGAAGGCATCCATACATTAGATACATACATAGGAGTTAATCTACAGATCTGCATAGAAACCGAACAGCTTCCAGGTTTTATTGCCAAAGCTTCATTGAACAAGCTGAAGCTAGAAGCTGATTGGCTTCCATGCAGAGCTGCACCAGTTTTGCACACTCCGGTTTCAGTAAATCAATCTCAATGTATGCACCTAATGTATGGATACCTTCACTGAGAGCGGGAGGGTCCATACACATTTAAGCCTTCAGTTACAGTGTTTTCTGAAAACATTGGGCCTGTGTGCAAGATCATAAGTTGGGCACTCCTGGAGGAAGAAAAAAAAGCATGCCATGACTTAAAGAATGTGGAGTGCAGTGGTTCAGGCATAAGTGACGCAAAGGTTCAATAGTAAATGACACAGAGTCCAAAGTTCAGTAATAAGTGATGCAGAGGTCAGGAGTAATGCAATGTTTAGGGGTCAGTAGCAAATGAAGCTAAGTTTAAGGGGTCAGGCGTAAGTGACACAGGGTTCAGTAGTGACGCAGAGTTCAGGGGTCAGGAGTAAGTGACGCAGGGGTATGTAGTGATGCAGGGCTCAGAGGGTCAGAAGTAAGTGACACAGAGTTTAGGGGTCAGGAGTAAGTGACGCAGGGGTCAATAGCGATGCTGTGTTTCACTGGGTCAGGAGTGATGCAGGGGTCAGTAGCGATGCAGGGTTTCACTAGGTCAGGAGTAAGTGACACAGAGGTCAGGAGTAAGTGATGCAGGGGTCAGTAGAGATGCAGTATTTCACTGGGTCAGGAGTAAGTGACACAGAGGTCAGGAGTAAGTGACACAGAGTTCAGGGGTCAGGAGTGACACAGAGGTCAGGAGTAAGTGACACAGAGTTCAGGGGTCAGGAGTAAGTGACACAGAGTTCAGGGGTCAGGAGTAAGTGATGCAGGGTTCAGTAGTGATGCAGTGTTTTCACTGGGTCAGGAGTAAGTGACACAGAGGTCAGGAGTAAGTGATGCAGGGGTCAGTAGCGATGCAGGGTTCAGGGGGTCAGAAATAAGTGACAATAGAGTTCAGGGGTCAGGAGTAAGTGACATAGGGGTCAGTAGCGATGCAGGGTTTCACTGGGTCAGGAGTGACACAGAGTTCAGTGGTCAATAGTAAGTGGTCCTCTGTTCCTGAATTCATCCACTCAGCCTTCCCCTGCACAACCTACCATTCTCCCTGGACTGTGGTTCCCTCTGTCCGCAGCACTGGCTGTCTTGCTCCTTTTCTCTGGGGCCAGTAGGGATGTGATTAGCCTAAGTAGTGGCCAATCACGGTCCTTCTGCCCCTGGATAAAGGAACCAGCACTGCTCTCCTCCCAAATGAGCTCAGGCACGTCCAGGCATGAGCCTGAGGCCCACTAGAGCTATCCAGCTGGGAGGTTGTCAAAGCAGACCGCTAACCGTAGGTGGTGGAGTCATTCTCAGCCATGAAGCCGCACATTTGCAAGGGGCATGCTGTGGGGCAGGGAATGCCTCCGCTGCTTATGATTGACTGTTGAGTTTGACGGTTTCCTGGCAGGATAGCTTGGGCTGGTTCGGACTATATCCAAGTCATCCCTGGTCCCCATACACACTGGATGGATCTTTGCTCCAGCTGTGAATGGCAATCATAGTATAGCAAAGACACGGAACAGCTTTTCATTGCTGAGCAACAAGTGAGTGCACGGTGCCCAACCGCATGCATTGCGCCCACGGGGATGCCATTGGTTAATGCACATTAAATGTGTACTATGGCATATGGTTGTGTCCAAAATTATTCGACCCCCAATGCTGTAAAGGGGTTTAGGGACTATAGTGTCATTTGGAATTGTATTCAGAATCAAATCACAAGGAGTTCAGTAAAATGACATCAATTGTTTATGTAATACAGTAGTAAATGGTTCTTATGTGGTTTCTGTCATTGCCACAATTATTCAAACCCCTTAAAGACACCACTCTTCAGAGGTTCATACAGGTGCTTTCCATCAGGTATTGAAAACACCTGTGGATGTCACCGAGCAGCAATCAAGCATAATAAGCACCAATTAGCAGCTTTAAAATGACTGTGATACTCAGCTCCTTCTAGACATTTACTGGTGTGGTTACAAACATGGTGAAGGCAAGAGAATGGTCCAGGAAGACAAGAGAAGAGGTGATTTCTCTTCACAGGAAGGGCAATGGCTATAAGAAGATTGCCAATCATACCAAGAGACACCTTCTGGAAGCATCATTCGCAAATTCAAGGCAAAGGGCACTGTTGAAACGCTACCTCGTGGCAAAAGAAGATGCAGACTTCGACTGCTGGCGCTACCTGAAGCGTAGAGTGGAGAGAAGTCCCCGTGTGACT